TTATTCAGAATTATTTTTTATTATAAAATATATTCTGTACTAGTAATCAAGTACTAGGTTGTACATTTTGGACAATTGTTTTTCTTCCAGACATGACAATGATTGATCACTACTTTAATATCTTAATTCTCGAATTATTTCGTACCAGTTATAGAAATATTGATTTGTTAAAATGCGTAATAATAAATAAAATAAGTCGCACAAAAATGGTTTTGCTATAAATCCTGTATTATAATGAAAAGAGTACACATACTGTTTTCATAATCATACTTTATTTTAAAAAAGTATTTAAGTTGCTCAATTGTATTTATTTATTAACAATTTAATGTACATTATCTATTGATTTACGTTCCAGTCTATTGTAGTTGTAGTTTGTTGTAGTCACATTTGTACAAATCTCTTTTTTAATTAAAATCTCAATATGTATTAGAAGCATGATCAAATTCATTTTAAATTCTGGTGAATCTATCAATAAGTAGTCTCTAATCTATTTCATTTGCTTTTTATTCTTTGTACCAATTTGTGCACCTTTCTTTGCACTTTTGACGATACCTTGGAATTTTGTTGCATTCTTCTTCTTTTTCCTGAAAATCATACGGACGCCGTGTAAAAAAAATATATATATATATATATAAAATAGAGATGAATGAAATACATGAAATTTAAAATAGCATTATTTACCTCTTATTCAATGCTGATCGTGACAAAGGTATGTATGCGTACGGGTCTGGTTTCCCTTTCTTTTTAATGTCACCTTTAGCTTTTTGTGCTTTGTATTCCATTCCTGGTGTGTGTTTCACTTTGTCCTTTTTCAATGGTCTATGGATACCTGATCCACCAGCTGCAGACAATAGACATTGATGTCAAATATCAATTACATGCTAAACTAATTTTTTATAACTATATTACCTTGATATTTCGACGTAGTTGAACTCTTTGCGCTAACATTATCAAAGCTGTCTGTATATTTACGCTTTCTACCCATTGCTTGTGTTGTGGCTGCAGATTCAGCATCATCGACATCCTCTAAAAATGTACATTAGTTAATTACAGTTCTTTCATTTAATGCAGTTTTCTATTTTCTACAACTTACCATAATCATCTTCTGAATCGCTATGTAAAAATGGTGTTTTCCTTTTCTTGATATTAGTGACCTCATCATCTCTTTCATGATCAACTGTGATAATTAAACGTCCATCTGAAGCTGTCTTGAATCCACGATCCTTCGTCTTCGATCTTGCTGCATTTGATCTTAGAGATCCGGGTTGTGTAGCTGTAAAAGTATTATTTTTTAAGAATTATAGTTTGCGACAAAATACACTTCCGTCATCACAAGGAAATCTTACTAGAAATATTCCTAGCAGCCGCAGGATCAATAAGATCAATAATTTCCTCATTTTCCTGAATCCATGCTTCTTTTCTTGATGTACGCTTCTTATTTTTCTTTGGTTCTACATTTTCCATGCCGTCATACTCTTCCTCGCTATCAGCCAATATATCCTCGATGCTATATATAAGTAAAATAAAAATAATAACTATGAGAAATTCAGGATATTATGCCAAATTGAAATCAATGTTACCTCTTCGGTCTCCTTGTTGCATTGAACTCATCTTCTTCCTTGTCTTGTTTCGATTTCTTTAGTTCCCTGTTCTTCTTCTTCGTTTCTTCCAATTTATTTAAATTCTTCAACCTCTTATGCAGTACTACGTTGGAAGAAGGTATCATACCCGAGATCGCCTCCATTCCATATTTCCTTAATAATTTTATTAGGATGTCTCTTACTTTCTGCCGGAAGTGCCTCTGGCAATCCTCAGTCATACTACATATAGCTTCCACCTGTCATTTTATGAAAATATGGTTATGTACTATAGTATGTAACTTAGACAAAGATCAATTATTTACTGTGCACTTACCAATTTAGGTAAGGTTGATGCAACAATTGGACTTGGCATACTAGTAAGATATACTTTAATATAAGATAATGAAGACTCTGTAACTTCTCTTGTGGGACTCGAAACAAGCTTACATGCATACTCTAATATTTCCTTAATTGTTTCTACTCCTAGTGATCCTATTTTAACAAGCAATAGTATCATAGTTGACATCATTAAGTTAAAAAACTTTAAGGTCCATTTTAAAATAATTTTCTTACCATTAAAGTGATAAGTAAGAGATGCAAGTGCCAATATAGAAACAGTACAATATTTTTGTGTGCCTCCCAAACCAACCATTAACATGTTTACATAACTCTTCAGATGTTCTGGATTACCTAAAAATTTCTCTGCTATGGAGCTCAAAAGTCGATAGGCAGAAATTCGACACTTCGTGTTGGTGTCTTTTAAATGCAGTACCGTCTCGGGTACCACAGCTTCTAGGAATTTACTGTTCTCCAATTGTGGATTGATTTTGACCATATGCGTCAAACATCTCAATCGAGCCTAAGGAGAGTTATTATTGCGATACATTACATTGGTCTATTCAAATTTTATTATACAATGGTACAGTGATACTTACTCCACTGCAGGGTTTTGCAACCTCTGCTGCCGAAGACATTAATAATTTTTGTATTTCACGTCTGTGCTGTTGTATAAATGTTTGGCATGTTTCTTTTGTACTACTACATATTTCTTCCAAAAATCTGAAAACCATATGTTTAATCATGTAGCACTGTTTAAAAAATATATCTGGAAATATGATCAGTAATTTTTACCTGTATGCTTTTTTCTGTTCTTTCATTTTGGGACTTGTTTTAATGGCCGGAATGCATATGTCGTAAAAAGTTTTTAATCTATCAACATCTGTGTATTCAATTAATAGTCTTATTATGTCGTGAACACTTTCTTTAAAGAAATCGTCAGCATCAGGTTCATTCGACCTAGCCAGTGCACGATCGTACAATTCATTTATTAATTCTTTGCTTGTAATAGAAAGGTACATCTACGAGATAAGATAGATCAAATTAATGTTATTAACATGCAATTAAATTTATGTTGTATTTTATCTTTGAACTTATAGTTTGTGTATTACCTTAAGTGTCTCATATGCGGCAAGGCGCTGGCCTTCTTCGTCAGTACCATTTGGTTTAATTGTATACTGATTTAAAAGTAGCGGTACAAAATTTTTTGCATATTTGGCAAGTTCTGCCACATCTTCTTCTTTATTATCTGCCACGGCTTTAGCAATTAATTTTCTTATGGCAGACATTACATAGAACCTTAACTCTTTCTTATTGGTAAAAGTCGTTCCCAACAGTTTAGCAATATTCTGAAATAATATTTGTGAGATTAATATCAGGAAGGACTTATTTGATTTGTAGTGCATACCTGAAAATTATCTTTTACGTCTGTGGCATTGTGACAGATACTTGGCAGAACAGCCCATATTTGAATAAGCAAAAATTCATAGCTTTTTCCTCCTGTTTGCCCAGTAGACTTTGTCCTAAAATTATTGTATTAGATTATAGCCTTTACTATTATGTAAAAATATTTTAATACACTTACTCGCATATTTCAGCTAGTGGTAGCAAAGTGTTGATGAAAAAGCTTAATGAACCTTCTGTTATGCAGTCCTTTAACAGTGGCAGTAGCCAGGTTCTTTTTAAATTGATATCACAATTTGTCAGCTGCAAAAGAAATTTGTATGTATTATCTACCTAAAGACCTAATCTCTTATGACATTTATAAATAACTCTTACCTTCAATGGAATTACATTGAGTACACTATCTGGTCCCAATGATCTTATAGCGGCCCCGATAGCATACTCAGCGTCATTTTTAGAGGCAAAATTATAACAATCGCGTAAATCTGATAAAGATTTCAATACATCTATTAATTTAGGGCACCTCGTTTTACCAGTTATCTAAAATAAAAAGAAAAACGGTAAAATTTTAGTCGATGCAAGAGTAAAAAACATACTTATTACCTGGAAGAGTAGGGCTGTTAAGTGTAGAATATAATACCAAGCTTCCAAGTATTGGAAATTTAGAGCTTTAAGCATCACGACGATTACTTGGTCGATCACAGTGTTATACCTAACAATACACAACTGTTAATGAATAGTTTGTTAATTAATAAAATGAGTTGAAAACAGAAATTTTTATACTTACTTTTTCATGAGTTCTGGAGTTTCACACATTTTCCCAACACAATCTTGTAACAATATCTTCATAGTGTGTGATGTGCCAGATATAACTTCTGATTTATCAGAAAGCCAAAGTTGTACGCATTCCGACAACATCTGTGGCAAAATAGCTGCACAGAAATTCAACGAATTGCTGGAAATGAAAAATGAGAGGATTTGAAATTAATAAGATTAAAAATACCAAACTTAAATCTATAATTTATACTGACTTAGCCAAACACAAATGAGCTTCTTGCATGACTGTCAACCACGCAAGGATTGGTTGTGTATCTGTTGAAGGGGGCTGATAGTTATAGAGTACATTAATTAGTTGTGCGTTTCTTTGAACCGGCAGAATAGCTTCTGGAGGTCGAGAAACAAATAAACCATGGAAGGTTTGAAAGCAACACGACGTTACTAAAACGTTCTGCATTGCCATAATTTTTAACAATGATTCGCAAATCATCTAAAAAGTAAAAGAACAGTTTGTTTTAGTTGATATATCTTGCATAAATGATATTCAAATTTTTTACCTTCACATGCGGTTTTGGTAACTGATGAGTAATGTCTTTCAATAGTGTAAGTACATGAAGTACAGTAGTGACACTACCAGGCTCCGAACTAACTTGTAATGAGTTGAAACAGTGTTTTGCAACCCGTGGTGAACACGGATGATACAATGGTGGATCTTCCTTATTCATGATTTCACTTCCTACAATATAATAAGGTGATTCCATGAAATATTTAAGTTTGTAGTATTCTTTAAAATATATGTTATGCTTTGAATAATGTACCTTTCAATATGGCACATATTCCATGTTGAGCTGCTTTTCTTACTTTTGGCTTACTGTGTGTGACAAATGCTAGAATAGCATCAATCACTTGCATAGTCGACGAATTCGACCATGTAGCCTCTTCTAATGACCGAAGAAGTAGGGACAAACAATGGATACACTGAAATGGTATTAAATTGTAAATATTCCGTGTTTTTTAAAATTTAATTAATATATGAACTCACATGACGTAGTATTAAGAATTCTTCTGATGAGGCGTAATTTTTCAAAATATTCAAAAATACTTTACTGGCTGCACTAAACTGTACATTCAAAACATTTTTGGGTACAGTTTTTAAGCCCATTCCTAGCAGAGAAAGGGTAGCTGCAATTGATGTTTCTGATTCGATTGCCTCCAGAGTACTCATCTATTAAACACCAAAATTTAAAGTTCATTTTCATATTCAGAAAGTTTGGGTAATATTTTGTGCATACCAAAGCAGCAAAATATTCTGTGGAAGATTCATCTCCACCATTCTGCTTGATTACTTCTGTGACTGCTGACAATACAGCTAACATTTCTTTGTGTAAAAGTGACTTTGACTGAAAATGAGTTAAAAACCTGCAAGATAGACAGTAATTTTAGATGATTGATTAAGTTTCTTGACGAACTATTATGAATTACTTACTTGTTAAAGGATATGTTGGAGCAATTGCTATAATTACTAGCAAATGTGTCAAACGTTTTAGTTGTAGTTTCTGTTTGAGTGTCTGAATGATCTTCATCGATATCAAGTTTCTCAAACTGAGGACCAATGCTTTGAATAGCATCGTGCTTCTCTAAATCCTCTTTTGTCAAACCAGGCTTGGCTGTAATAAAACACAAATAAGATTCGAGTGAAATATTGTAAATGCGCGGTCAGAATGTAAAATGAAACAAACCTGGTGTATCTTTGAAAAACATCCATGCTGCTTGTTCACGATGTTTTTTCGTTTCCGGATTAGAACTTGAGCTCTGTCCCTTCGCCCAACGTTTCGCCTTTTGTCTGCTGTTTAAACGTGGTCCTACTTTTCCCATTGTTAATCTAGCTACTTATGCTTTTTTCCCACGTTTTACGATTTATTTCGTCCGATTTTTTAACTAGGATTAGCGTCAATGGAACAACAAGGTTAACTTCATCTTACACGTGCACCCACAAAAGATTGGCTCAGCTCAGTTGGTAAATTGGTAAAGCAGAATGATGTTCCAATGATTTCCGTATGATGGCAGTGCAAGAATATCTGCGTGGGAATTTTTAAAAATTGTTTTTTTGAGAAAGTATGAAACAAATATCTTTTTCTGATTTTGTGGTATTTTATTGTATTATTGAAACTATAAATAATGTTTTTTAAGTCCCAAAGACAACTATAAATATCATTGAAGTACTTTTAAGTTTTCTAACTGTATGAATCTTTAAATTAATTTTTCAGGGAACATTCATTAGGGGCATTTGAGTGAAAGTTAGTTGAACTATGCGAATATTTAAATTACAGATACAATAATTTTTAATTAATTTTATTTTATTCGCTTTAATATATTTATATGTAATATAATAATAATAATATGTGAATATAATATAATATTAATTAAACATTTTAATATTTAATTTACTTTACTTCTTAAGAAGACATTCGTGATTTGATTTTTAGCTTTAAGTTGCCGGCATTTGTACATAACAGTTTATGATTATAATACTTAAAATACGTACCAGCAGGAAAAAAATACAGTTGTTTCACGATACATGGGATTATGTCACTGGCTCGAGTTCCATCAATAGCGAATCAATGTTTCGCAAGATGACAGTGATTAATCGGCACGACTGCTCGTTAACAGTAAAATCCAATGGATCCAGAATGCTTCTATTAATCAAACGAAACGATGTCAAAACCGAGGTGCATGGTAATGAAAATCGAAAGCCCAGAACTCTTTCCTGCGTTTCTATCATTCTGTTGCTAATTTGCAAGCGATGATAGGTATTGGTTCGTGCAATTAGAACGGTAAATAGCCGAAGGCAGCCGGAGACCTTTGCTAAAGGAGGCGAAGTTCCATTCTCCCTGAACGTGGCAATTTTCCAATTTGCAATAAACCTGATAATTAACAAAATTCGCGACTAGTTCCACACAGCCCCGGCAATTACGGTGTCTCATTTTCATGATGCGTCCGAGCGGGATGGTTAAACGCATTGGCCACCTTCGATGCACCGCAGCGGAGGATAGATACCGTTAACAGAAAACAGAGGATGCAGCTGCATTCGCGCACTGCATCGACACTAGTGCCGTCCATTAGTTATGGACGAACATGAATTAGCAAAATAATCAAAAGAATTACACAGTATTATCTGTTATTAAAACGAGGCTTCATCGAAGCGACCTTTTTATTAACCAGGCTTCCTGTTAATAATAGTGACATTCACTTGCAGCGGATTGTAATCGAGTTCTTACAATTGGAACATTATTGCTCCTGGAACTTACAGCGTCATAGATAATAAAGTAATCTGCAGGATGTCTCATCTAATTCAAACAAGATCAGGTTTCAAAGAGAACATGCTGTAGAAAAAGCCAAGTTGAACAGCTTATGTCATTCATGACGTCGACTACCACAATCTTTTATGTGAACTTGAGCAATAAAAGTAAATGAAAGGTGTACCTGCGACAGATAAATTGGCAAAGCAAATTCATTTTGTCATTCCTAAGAATGAATGGAAGATAACGGAGAACTTTTTAACTATTTCCTCGATTTTCTCCGCAGAATTCCACTGAAAGTACTGTTTTCCTCATCGTTTGCTGGATCACTGTACACAGATGCTCGTGTTTGGAACATTGATCGATTATCGTGCCCGAGGAAGCTACCTCAAAGAGTCCTCGAACCGTTTAACCTAGTTGCAAGCCATTACGGTGCCGTGAAACTGACCTACGTTCAAGGAGCACGTTTCGCGGGCCGAGAAGAATCTAAAATAGTTCGGGATGGTCGACGATTATTTTGTCACGACGCAGAACATCATTGTTTTGAAAGCCTTCCCTTTTATCATCGGCGCAACAACGATTAGAACGTTGCTCGATCGTTCAAGAGAAAGTTCCAGGATCCCGTGGAGTTCGAATGTTCCCGTTGTTTGCCGCGTGCCCCTTGATATTAACGCGGATATTGGAAACGCGATCACGCGAAACCGTGCACACCATAATGGTCGGCGTTGCGAAAGATACTGGGAGAACACGGTTTTTTCTTTGTCACCGAAAAAACGGGTGATTTTATTGAAATATCGAAATGGTTTCGAGTTCGTTTGTAAATACACTAACGCATTGGTGTTTGTGGAATTTATAAATGTTCAAGCTACTAGGAAAACGTTGAAATAGTTTGATTACAATGATTGGTATTTTTTCAATTGTAAGTATTTCTTAATATAGATGGGAAATTGATATTTATTGTTAAGCCAAACTCTGGCTTCTTCTAAACAAGAGGCTGTCTCGATTGGTACAGAAAATAGTTTTGGTTACATTTGGCCATTAGTTCGCTTGTAGTCTCCAAACAAAAGTCGAATATCATTTATTAACTTAATGAACTCCGTACTGACCTATCGAGCTTGCTAAAAACTTTGTCATCTAACAAAAGAGAGGCAATTTTGAATCGCAGACAGTCGAGTCAAAGCTATCAAATGCACACAAAGTTAGAGTTAGAGTAGTAGTCGATGTATTAACTTGGAGGTAAACTCACGGATTGACAGAGTTTCCTCGGCAAACAGCCACGTGAATGAAGACGAACGGTGGGAAATTGAGGAAGAAAGGTGCAATTGGCACGTCTCGAGCTCGTTCCCGCCTCCATAGAGACGGTAAATTGCATTAGAGGAGCGTTTAGTTAATCCACGGAACTGCGCAGATGGCACGGTACCCTGGTTTCGAGAACTTCGATTTGCCAAGGATGAATCCGGTGTCATCGGTGACGTTGGTAGACGTCAAAGAGTACCGTATTGATTCCGTGACGTCATTGAACCACCCTCCTACGCAACGAACCTACCATCCGGTTCGCCGGAATTCTTCCTCGGCCACCTGTTCTCCTACAGAACGCTATTTCAGTCGAGCTATGAATGACCTCGAAACATAGTATCACACAATCCTTGGTCACACTTTATTTCGAACACGATGCTAACTTACATTGAGTAATTTTCAAGATAATAATGGAAGACAGTAAAAATTCATTCAGCACGAATAATTTTGAGTGAATTGAATCGTTTCAATGAAATCAGGATACACGTGGGATTGCAAAGGTAATTGAGAAAGAAATACTGGAACTTGTGATTCGTTAATTTCTATACTGTAACCAGACCTAACTCGGTGGGTTAGTAGAATCATAGTGGCGTAAATCACACTTTTCCTTATTCTGTGAAACAAGGAGTGTTATTATATAGTTAAGTTAATTTTGAAGTAACTTTATAATTTATTTCACTTGTCTTTTTAATATTTTGTATAGATTACATTTTAAAACTGAAGTAAAAAGTTTTGTAAATGTGACTTACGCTACTGTGATTCTAAATCACTGAATTAAGCTAGCTAATCAATATGCAAATTTGCATAATATCCTGCAAACCTATATACAATTATTGCTAATTTTATTGACAAATAAAATTGTTATACGCGAACAGCGATATTTATTGCTGTTTACTGCTAGGAACTCGATCATGTCTGCTAGTCGATTATGTTTCAATAACGCTGTGAACTATGGAATTTCTTTCTTGCTCTAGCGAGAAGAAATTCAAAGTCGTTGATCTCTTGCGTTAGTACTACGTACTTTTTTCTTGTCATTTCGCTAACGCATTTTTGCAATATTTCACGGCGGAGCAATGGTTCATTAAACATGCAAATTCGTCGCGGTACCAATATTCGCTAAGTCGATCCTGCGTGAACAGTTACGCACGGTATCATTTTTTTGATCGGAGTCATTGATCTTATCTCGCTAATTTATACCTTTATGCGAGTTCATTATAACCGGTAATGATTTTTAATAAGTGTACAACGTTGTTCGATATTGAATGTCCCTATTTTGGAACGGAAGTTTCTTCTTCAACAATCAATTCATTCATACATATATTCTTCATTACATGCACCGACTTAAACTGTCTACATATACATATACGGTATAACATATGTTTTTTATTATTATTATTATATCTTTTAACTCGTGCAGTAATGTTTTAAAGGAATAATTAATTTTCTCTTTGATTCTTTGACTCCATAAATCGCGGAAATGAAAACGTTGAAGTACACAATATGGAACAGCATATTTTTGCTTAGATACACCCGTGTTCGAATAATCATTTCCTTCACAACTAATTGTTACATAATAGTATTTGCGTGAGTGAACTTATAAAGAACAATGTTCAAAAATGTAGGCAGAATTTTTACAACCACTTTCATGTGTTCTGTCTAGTTTTTATTCTGTTATTTGTGTTACTGTTTCAAGATGGAGTCACGATTGAGGCGGTGTTCCATAATAGGTACTTTTACCTTATTTCGTTCGATCTATGCCAATGGGGCCAGTTTAATATGCATGTGAAAGCTCGGTAACCATACGCTGATTAGACGCATGTCCGCGCGCGCGCGGCTAATTCCATTCTAAATCAAAAGTTCAATGGTGTTCACTATGCATATCGGATCAAAGGAACTGAACTCATTGCAGCACGCTCCGACGAAACATTATCATATTTTACGTACAATGTAGCGTAGAATGGGCGGAGTAAATGGTAAACTAATTACAACAGGATCCGGAGCCGATATCGTTCCGATTTAAATGATCTCACGGTAACGAGCGCTCCCCATAATAATTCCGTTACCAGGATCAATGGCGGAAACACTTGTCCAAAGGCTAGCGGACGCGTTATGTCACCGTCGCCAACGGAATTCCGTGCAACGTGTCATTAATTTCATCGTTTGCATCGCGATCGAATAAAAATGCTACTTGCATGCCAGCTTTCAATGACTTCGCAATAATTCAAAAGAAATTTCTGCGCGACGCTGCAAACGATTGGTAAACAACGAAATATCGTGCACCGTCAGCAGTTGTGTTGACGGTCGAATTAAATTGGAACAGGTGTTCGAAAGTAATCCGCAAAGAAAGACGCGTCTTAATAAAACAATTTTACTTGCTAACACATTCTGTCTCGTTTAATTAGAAAAAACTAAATCGCCGTACTTG